CTCTCTCTCTCTCTCTCTCTCTCTCTCTCTCTCTCTCTCTCTCTCTCTCTCTCTCTCTCTCTCTCTCTCTCTCTCTCTCCCCTCAACCCCCTTTCGATCCTTCTATCTGCCCAACTCTCATCCTCCCCGCCCCTTTCTTGATCCTTCTCTCTCGGTCTGACAGTCTCTCATCCTCTTTGTCGATCTCCCACCCTCGTCCATCTATTCATACGTCTACCACCCGCCTCCATCTATTCGTACTTTTACGCATCTACCTAGATCGGTCAATCTACCAGTAAACAACACGACACGCTCGTATCAGGGCATGAACACGCATGATTTTATTGTATGCGCAGATCGCTCGTGCGCGCGCGAATGTAAAGCGACTTTGCAGCCAACACTGCGGGCAAAGGAAAAACTTTAACTTTGAAGGGCGCGGAGATCGGCGGGGGCGAAAAGTATTCGACCGGGTCCAAGATTGGAGGTGATCTTTGATTACCAGCTTCCTTGGCTGCGGGGAAGTCATACATCTCGCCATCGGAAAAACAGATCTTAGGATTTGAAGAGCGCTCGCGATCTCTCTTCTGTCCTGATTCCGAACCAGCATTTCCTCTCACTGTGTCAGCTCCTCCCTCCACAGTCGCCGTCGCCGCCACTGCTGCTACCGCCGCCCTCCACTCCTGCTGCTGAGCGGATGATGTCGATGACCGCTGCTGCATAGGTCGCATAGCCACCGAGTGTCCCTCACATGCACCGTTCGGGATTTTCCCGACGAAGCCAGCGCCGATGAATCCGACTCCCATGCTACCGAGGGAGACCTGGGCAGCACCTCCTCCCGCATACGTAGGCGCAGAGGCAGCGGTAATGGATGGTCGAGCCTCAGCGCCATCTCTGCTCGCAGGAGAGCACACAAGCTGAAAGTGAGAGTGACCGAGTGGTTGTTGTTGCTGCTGCTGTTGCTGTGAAGCTGCCAATGGTCGATGTAAGTGATTGACGCCGTTCAGACGCTTCAGTTGTTGCGTTGACGTGGCACCAGAAAGCAGGGCGGGAGGTGGAACGCCAGTCTCGAGAAGCGACTTTCTCTCCGCTCTCCTTATCTCTCTATCTCTTTCTCTCTCTCGATCAATGAATGTTCATGCTATGTCTACTTCGACCTCTCTGCGACGACTATGAGACACGCAATCGGAACGGGGAGAAGGTAGGGGCAGGTAGATGTTGAGTTCGAAGTGAAAAAAATGAGAAAAGGAAGTACTTACTTTTTATTTATTTATTTTTCTTTCTCTTGAGTATAAAAGCATGTGTTAGCAGACGTTTGATTGATAAAAGCATGTGTTAGCAATCGTTTGATTGATTAGACACCAATTAGTGAGAATTAGATGCTTCCATCTTACTTGAATTATTTTTTTTTTTCTTTTTTCTTTCTAAAGATGTCCATCAACGATGATCTGGTTCCAAAAGTTCACTGACCGACCTTCGGGTCTTATCTCAGTTTGGATTCGTCTTCCGATCTGTGACACTGTATTCGGACGGCCGCCCTCGGGTGTGCCCTCGTGCGAAATCAATTGGTTCTGTGTATTGGACGGTGTTGGCTTCGCTTGCTTGCCATCTGGTCAGTCATTCGCGTTCCTGTTTCCGCTAGTTTGATATTGCACGATGTCTTTTTTCTTGTTAGCGCTCTCCCAGATCTTCGATTTCTTATTTGCGTCGTCAATTTTCCATTTCATCACTCGTTTGATGCGTTTGTCATGTTCTCTTACTCTCTCTTCCATGTCTTTTGCTTGCACCGGATCGTTTGTTCCCTTTCCCTAAACACCTCGCCTGCGCTTCTCCTTTCATTCCTTTTGGCGTCATATACGTTTTTGCTCATGCCCTTGTTGTCATTTTCACGGTCGTCCTCCTTTCACTTCTCCGCTTGCGTTTTGGCATTTGCTTGTTGCATAATACTTGTGTTTTCTTGGGTACATGGTGAACCTTGTTGTTCCTCCTCTCTTCTCCCCCCTTCTACTTTCTCCTCCGTGAAGGCACCCACGTTCTTTTCCGTTGTCCTCGCCCAATCCCTCTCTT